CATATGAACATTTACCTACACCAAAAAGTCGTATTGTAAAAATACTAATTTTTGTAGCATTTTCAAATGGGCTTCTTTCACTTAGTAATGAAGGAGGAAACAGACAGAGCTGGACTCCGTCTTAGGCCAGGCTGCAAGCATTAGGCTACACGCATGGTCTCCCTCCCAGTGGGCTCTGAGCTTTGTGCTCCAGTGTCTGTAGAAATGGCATAGCAATGGGAAATCAGATCCACCCCGCCCCCCCATAAAAGAGCCTCAGGACTTGTACTTGGACTCCATTCCCTAAAATAATATGCTAATTATCTCTGTAACAGAACAAAGTGGTCAATTCCATTCTGTTTATTGGGATGTGACCACAGGCCTGTTGATAAATATCCACTGTTTATTTAGTCCTGTGACCCATGAATCATGGGTTAACTTTGATTGTATCTCTGTTTTACCTTGCCCAGATGAGTTTCAAGGAATTTGGGGACTTGGGTTTGAGCAAGTACACTTAGGGTATATAAAGTTTTCACACAAACTGTTCGGGGTCCTTGGCTAAGACGAGACTCTGCCTTGGCCCCGCCCATGTAATAAACTGCACTCCACTATCTGCATTGTCCTTCTGAGTCAGTTTGTTTCCCAGAACGCGTGGCTACAACTGTAAAATGCATGGAATGATTGTCAATGTATTTTATGCCTTGAAAGCTTAACCTGCAAAAGCTTAATAACTACCTCTGCGCCTATATTCCTGCTCAGTAAATAAGTTCATCAATACCATTTTTTAAATTCCATACATATCTCTTAAGACAATATTTGCACAAATATAGAGATCAGACGTGGACACCGCAGGAGAAGAAGAGGGGGACCAATTGAAAGGGTACCATTGACATATATACACCACCATGGGTAAAATTTTGGAGAAGACTCCTGAGAGTCCCTTGGACTGCAAGGAGATCCAACCAGTCCATCCTAAAGGAAATCAGTCCTGATATTCATTGGAAGGACTGATGTTGAAGCTGAAACTTCAATACTTTGGCCATCTGATGTGAAGAACTGACTCATTTGAAGAGACACTGACGCTGGGAATGGTTGAAGCGGGGAGGAGAAGGGGACGACAGAGGATGAGGTGGTTGGATGGCATCACTGACTCAATGGACATGAGTTTGAGCAAGCTTCAGGAGTTGGTGATGGACAGGGAGACCTGCCGTGCTGCACTCCATGGGGTCGCAAAGAGTCAGACACGACTGAGCAATTGAACTGAACTGATAATTAAAATAGGTAGCTCGTGGGAAGCTGCTGTTTACCACAGGGAGCTCAGCTTGGTGCGCTGTGCTGAGCAGAAGGGTGAAACAGAGACCACGGGAGGGAGCGCCAAGAGGGAGAAGATTTATGTATACTTACGGCTGATTGATGATGTCATACAGCAGAAACAACACAACATTGTAAAGCAATTATACATACATATATGTCTTAAAAGGAAACAAAGCTAAACAGACTGGTCACCCGGTGGTGGAGAATCCTTCTGATACTGCAGGAGACAAGGGCTTCACTCCTGGTCCAGGAATACTCCACATGCTGTGGGGAGACTAAGCCTGTGCCTCACAGCTGCTAAGGCTGGGCGGGCAGCTTTCTCTTTTCCATGGGCAGGAGGCAAAAGAAAGATGCTCACCACCGCTAAACAATAAGAAATGCAGAACAAAGCTACAGGGATGTATCACCGTATGCCACTCAGAATAACAATAAGCAAAAAGCCCACTAAGAATATCATAAACGCTGAAGGGGCTTCGAGATCAGGGAACCTCCTACATGGCTGGACGGAAGGTAAGCTGGTGCAGTCAGGTGGGACGACCCTGGGGAAGTTCCTTAAAAAACATAACCTCCTGACATTTAAGGAAATGAATTCCATGAAAAGTAGACAAAACGGATTAATTGACAAATTGACGTTTTATAGTTTTTAGTAAATCATGTGCAATTCTGAAATGACCAGCTTTGATCTAGCATTTCTAAATTCTCTAAGTTAAATGTGTAAGAATACACATACACTCACATATTCTTTCTTGGTTTTCTCACTGCTAACATGTATACCTTCAGATATTTATATCTTGTATTCAATGTGTTATATAAATCAGATTATTTATATATCTTCAGATATTTATATATTGCATTCAAAGTATGCCAAAGCCATAAGAAAACAGTTCCTTTAAGCCTTACAAGACACATGTGCTAAGAATTATACAGGGTAAGATTTTATAAATCTTGGTTCAGAATTTTCCGTTCATGGCTTTTGATTACTACTTTTGTGACTTTGTTAAACTTACATTTGCTTAAATGAGCCCCTGAAAAGTTTTAGCTAACAGAAGAACGAAGGACAATTGCAGCAGGTGAGTTTATGACTCTAGGTCCTCAGAGAATTCACAGCAAGCCTTGAGGGCCCCAGAGGAAGGTCAAGGCTAGAACCAGGCAAAGAAAATTCCAGTACTTGGGGTTCAGACCTGACCCTGGGTGAAGTGTTGTGGGCCCCACAGGCTGAGTGTGGAGGGGTCCATTCAAACAAAGACAAGCAGGATTCTGGTGAGGCCTGAGTTTATCACTGAAGGGGGGTCTGTGCAGTAGACCCTGGGATTCAGCAAGACTGCTGGTGTCAAGGAAGGGGTCATCTAGTGCAGGTGCTCACAGGACCGGCTGGTGTGAGTTCAAGGACCTGCAGGCTGCCTGCTCCCCAGACAGACGCTGAGGCAGCAACAGCATGGAGAAGCTCAGGGGAGCTCTCAACAGTGCTCTGTATGATCCTTCTTATTAGAACCACCACGATGTCCAAGTAGATAAAAATGGGAGAGGAGATACAACATAGAAATGATGGGAAATATGAGAGGTTTAACAGCAGTAAGGAACTAATTTCTACAGATGCAATCCCCCTGTGCTACAAATAGTTTATCATTATGTTACCTATCCTGCAACCTTAAATAGGTGGGAGAGGTTAATGCTGGTGGTGCCTTAACCCTTCATTCATTCCACATCAATTGTAACACTGAAAAACCATTCACTTTTATTAATCAAGATACATTAATTTTACACAGATGGAATAAAACCTTTTACAATTGTTGTTTGATCCTTGATTAAAATACACATTTCAAGCTTCTAAAAACTTTCCTGTTTCTCTGATGAAATGATCTGAGAATGTGATTTATATGGTTTACAAAATGGAGGCTAATTTAGTAAACATGGATGGACACTAATTATATTAATATGACTTTTCCAGAAAGTTTTCCAAACTTACATCAGATAGAAGAGGTGTCCTTACTTCAAGCCTGTCAGATAATATGCATGATTTCTCTCTGTTGCTGTTATAAAAATACCTTCCATTTTCATGAACTATCCTTGACTTATGCTTAAAAAGCAATGGACATAATTATTGAAAACTTAGAACAAAGTTCTATCTTGCTTTGAATTATTCCCTGAAAGCTTACATCATGGTGACCACAGAGGTGTTTGACATCAGTGACAAATACCTTCATTCAGAGGTTTAGTGTGTATATAACATGACTGTGTAAATTTGGAGAATAAATGTAAATGATTCCCACTTAATATAGAACGGCTTCTCTTACCATTGGGCAACAACCATGAAAAACATAAGTTCATAACACAGTACAAACAAATCACAGCATGTAGTAATTTGAGAGTTGAATTACATTCATTTTGGTTCCTTAATAATCTCAAATAACATTAACATAAACAAGGATACATTAATAATAATTATACCTCTGCAAATATGCATCCCTTAATCTTGTGATCCATACTAACATATCAATTTTGTATGTGTTTTACTTATGGAATACTTGCCACAGTGTTTCTGCTTCGAGTAATTCAAAAAAAGTGGTACTAATGACATGCTTTCTAGTATGAATTCTCTGGTATTGAGTTACGTTTGATGTTTGATTAAGCAGTTTTCTACATTTCAGTATGTATTCTGTGATTGTGAGTGAGGTGATGGCTGTGATGAAATGCTTTGCCACATTCCTTACATTTCTAACATTTCTCTGCAGTATGAACTCTCTGGTGTAGAGAAAGACCTGACCTCTGGGAAAAGGCTTTGCCACAGTCTGTACATTTATGTGGTCTCTCCCCAGTATGGATTCGTTGATGTTGAGTAAGACCTGAATAATGGATAAAGGCTTTGCTACATGCTGTACATTTATAAAGTCTTTCCCCGGTATGGATTCGCTGATGTTGAGTTAAATTTCAACTCTGCTTAAAAGCCTTGCCACATGCTGTATATTTATAAGGTCTCTCCCCAGTATGGATTCATTGATGTCGAGTAAGAAAAGAATAACGGATAAAGGCTTTGCCACATTCTGTACATTTATAAGGTCTTTCCCCAGTATGGATTTGCTGATGTTCAGTTAAATATGAACTCTGCTTAAAAGCCTTGCCACATGCTGTACATTTATAAGGTCTCTCCCCAGTATGGACTCGTTGATGTTGAGTTAAAGTTGAACTCTGGTTAAAAGCCTTGCCACATGATGTACATTTATAAGGTGTCTCGCCAGTATGAATTCGTTGATGTCGAGTAAGAAGTGAATGATGGATAAAGGCTTTGCCACATTCTGTACATTTGTAAGGTCTCTCCCCAGTATGGATTCACTGATGTGGAGTTAAGGCTGAACTTTGCTTAAAAGCCTTGCCACATGCTGTACATTTATAAGGTCTCTCCCTAGTATGGGTTCGTCGATGTCGAGTCAGAACTGAATAATGGATAAAGGTTTTACCACATTCTGTACATTTGTATGGTTTCTCCCCAGCATGGATTCGCAGATGTTCAGTTAAAGATGAACTCTGATTAAAGGTTTGGCCACATGCTGTACATTTGAAATGTTTCCTTCCTGTATGAATTTTCCTATGTCTACTTAGATTTGGTGAGTTACTAAAGACTTTTCCACATGTATTACTCTTGCAATGTTTCTGCTTAGTCTGAATATTCTGCTGTTGAATAAGTTTTGAAGACTGGTTAAAAATTTTACCATAATCATAACAAGTGTAAGTCTTCTCTTCAATATCCATACTCTTATAAGTACTAATAGTAAGATTTGAGCTTTGATAAAATATATTCCTACACTTATGATGTTCAGAATTGTTGTCTGAAAATTGATATCCCCGTTGTTTCAGGAGATATGAGTCTTGGTCCACATTATGCCCAGTTTCATTGCCTGAAGAGCTTCTCATTCCATCATGTATACTCTTGTAATTATTGGGGGTAGAGCTCCTGCTTAAGGCATTCCTCATTTTGTTACACTTGGAAAGTTGTTCCACACTAATTATACCTCCATATGTATTGAACAATGATAGTTGAATAAGGTCTCTCCCATTATTACCAACATTACAGATTTTGGAACAAGGAGAAAATAGTTGTTGGTTGAAGAACAAGAAACCCTTGTTAAAGGATCCCTCAAATTGAGTGTATAGGGAATTTCCCCCCTAATTTCTAAGTTTCTGATTTTCAGACATGTTTGAATGTATATTTAATAGACAGCTATGCTCAGAGTATAGGTTTGAATGAGTATTTGCAGTAGAGACTAGATGACTTTCCAGATTTTCCATATTTCCCTTCAGAGAACATGTATGTTTCAACAGATGATGTGGATCTATGCTGACAAATATACACTTAACTGCAGATGTTGATGACTGAAATTGGTCATCTGAAATTGGTTTTTCCTTATTTGATTCACATCCTTGATTTCCTTTGGCGGTAATGTTTACTTTATGGGAAACTGGACCAACTTGGTTGTGTCCATCATAACATGCTCTCCGCTCTTTATATGCCCTCATAGATTGCCAGTCTTTGGTTAAATGTAAATTTACAAGGCGAAATCTTTCATATATTCCTAGCTTGGCTGTTGGGAGTAAATCTTCTAAGCCTGGCTTTTGGGTCCTCAAATCCTGGGTATCGTGAGAAGACACAGCTGAAAGATAGCAAATAATAAGTAATTCTACTTACTATTCTTGGAGAATATAGTTTACAATTTACATAAAATTGGCATATACTTGGCTAGATTAAGCCTAAAACCGGGATAGAAGGAGTCAAGATGGCAGAGGATTCGGAAGACGTGGAGTTCATCTCTCTCAACAAAAGCATCAAGAATACATGTTGAAGTGAAAAATTTCTCACAGAGACCTGCGGAACACGAGCTGAGGACTTGGACACCTGAAAAGACAAGAAAGAGGCCTGCGGAGCCAGGTAGGACAAGAGGGTGATGGAGGAAAGGGAAGAGGAAAAGAAGCAGGATAGGACCTGCAAAACCCTGGGGGCATCTGAAGAGAGGAGAGGTCTCCACATCCAGGGAAGACCCTCATTGGGGGGAGCTCAGTTGGGACAGAAAGGGAGCCTTGTTCTCTCTGGGAAGAGAACACGGCAACCAGCGTGCAGGACAGAGTGAGACCTGCATGCAGGGTACTGACCTCTGCCCTGCCCAGTCAGCCTGAGAGGGTGTCCTCCGCTGCAGACAAGGGCTGGGTGCTGGAATGTGGCGTTTGGAGAGCAGACCCAGGCAAAGGACTGCGGTTGGCCGTGAGCAGGCATCCTGAGGGGACGGGAGGGAGGGAGGAGCTCTGCAATTGGGATGCTTGTGGAGGAAGCTTGAACCACCAGAGAAGCAGAGCGGCACTGTTGAGTGATGCCTGAAGGGAAGAACCTCCTTGCAGCCTCTCTGCCCCTCTGCCTCTCCAGGCACTAGGAATGGCTCCCACCCAGGTGGGTGATCTCACGACCCCCACAGCTGCTTCCTCCTGCCCAGTCTCCTCCCCACAAGGGTAGACTCATGGGCTCCAGGGGCACCTTCAGAGCACACGCCTATGGTTGGTCCCTATGTACAGGTGGTGCTGAAACCACAGCTGAGCCCCAAGGCCCTGCCACTAAGCAAGAAAAGCTGAGATCTCTCCTTGCATCTGTACAAACCATGGTGTTACACCCCACAACTGGCTGGGTAAACTCAACCTCAACACAACATCTGGATGGAAATGAGGCTCTGGCAGTGAAGACCAGTCTGGCTTTAGCAACTGTAGACTTTATAGGCATTCACATGAGGCATTTGGACCATGTCACAGTCTACATTGCCCCCATAGCACCACAGCAGGTCCAGCTCCACAATGAAGGTCCACCTGGGATATGACTACAGTGGATCTCTGCTGGTGACCTGGTTAAAACAACAACTGAGAGACACCAGCGTCAAGTGCCAGCATACCCATGGTTCAGGTGTGGCAAGATCAATGCCAAGACAGGGTCATATGAGAGCTCGCACAGTACATGAAAGATTACACGCAGAGCACTCTCCGAGGAGAACATCCCCAGAGAAGCAACACTCAGTGGCTTCCCTCCCAGTGGGTGTGCTCCAGTCCCACTAGGTCAGAAGCACCACAGATCAGAGCAGAGCTCATTTCAGATCTGCGGCCTCTGCTCCACCAATCAGGAAGAACACTCCACCCCAGACAGTGAGAGCTACAGAGGAAAGGCGAAGTGGCCCTCAAGATCCGGGCAGGCTCTGGTCACAATAGTAACAATCAACCCCCTCTCAAGGGCAGAAGGGCACAAGTCTCTGGACCACCTCACCCACCACGGAGCAGACACCAGAGCAAGAGGAACTAGGATCTGCAGCCTGCAGAACAGAGACCACAAACACAGAACATTGGACAAGATGAGATGAAAAAGGAGTATGGTGCAGAGGAGAACTCAAGATAGAAACCTAAAGGAACAACGAAGCGAGGAGCAGCTGAGCAGTGTACTGAGTAATTTCTGCTTTAAGTAATCAAATTTACAAACAAAATGTCTTCACAAATGCTAATGCCTACTAATTATTTAACCCAATGACCACTCATGTTGCTATCTGAGCATATATAGAGCATATAGAGTCTAAAATAGTAAATGCTATTGACCTAGAACTAATCAGAAATACAGGGCATAAACGATAAAGTCCTGGGATGTCTCATAACAAACAAGATGGGTTTAATATGGTAAGAGTTCTTAACAAATCAAATAAAAAGTGAGACTTTAAAAATATGGTGAGAACACACGGAACTCTACTCAATGTTCTGTGGTGACCTAGATGGGAAGGATATCTAATCAAGAAGGGAAATGTGTATATGTATCACTTATTCTTTCTGTATAGCAAAACTAACATAACATTGTAAAATAGAATTATTGGAAGAGAAAAATTTCTTCTTAAAGATTTCTCTATATAATCTATAAGCTTAATAGTGAAGAACAATCAGAAAAAACACTATGGGAAATGTTCTAAACTCCTATGTGAATAATTTCTTTAAAAACACTGTGAGTTAAATAAACAATTTTAGCATTAATGAATTGGGACAAATATACTTAACACATTTAATGATAGTTCATATAAAAAAAAGAGAAACAATAATATAAAATTCAGATTTTCATTTTCTCATTTTAGTGAGGTGTCTTATGCAGTGAAGAAAGGATTTGAGTATGATATTTCTAAGGTCATATGTGTAGTTTCCAATGGACTGGAAGTTATATGGTAGAAAACAAAAAATATCTGTCCCCAGTATTCCTAGAAGTTTGGCAGTTTTTTCAGAGCTCCACCCACACACTTCTGACAAGGGACAGAATCAGCACTTTTAAAAGGGCTTCATATAGTTACTCAGAAATATGCAGATTTTCCAAAACCTCCCCAAAATGGATGAGTTATCAAGTCATGCAGGTTGTTCCAGGCCAAGACAAGTATTTTGGTTCTAACTCTGAATGTTAATATTAATAACTGGAGAAAATTACACAAATGATAAAAAGAATCAGGAATGTGTTCAGGAGATGACGCTCTATGACAGTGACAGATATAAACCTAGCCTAATCCAAAATCATCTCCACTGAAGCATATCTTCTCAAACCACACGACAAAGTATGACTTCCTCCCCAATGCTTGTCCCTCTCACCTGAGTTATCTGCTTCATCCATAGACACATACCTGGGTGTATGGCTGTATCCATTCTCCTTACATCCCAGGAACCATTCATTTGCTCCAGAAATGTGACCAGGTCTGGCTTAGAGACCACAAGACCTGTTCATCAAAAAATGGAATATGTGTTTTCTGAGATATTAATGAATTTCTAATCCAATATGTATTCAGCTGAGAGAGAAGTCAAGGTAGAAAGTTAAAATAGCACTAAAAAAATTATTTCACAAAATAGTTTATTGGAAGCATCTTTAAAAGACAAATGCATCAAAATCAGACTCTGATATTATGCTCAAGTACTACTAAGGCAAAAGCAGGTAGTGGAATTCCAGTTTTAAGAGAAGAGTGGCACTATTTGATACCATAGAACTTACAGAATTACCACGAACCTACAATGAAGTATATGCAGGTGAAGAAACAACAGTTAGAATCGGACATAGAACAGTTGACTGGTTGCAGGTTTGGAAAGGAGTACATCAAGCCTGTACATTGCCACTCTGCTTATTTAATTTCTATGCAGAGTACATCATGCGAAATGCTGGGCAAGATGAATCACAACCTGGAATCAAGATTACCAGGAGAGATATCAACAACCTCAGGTATACAGATGATATCACTCTAATGGCAGAAACTGAAGAGGAACTAAAAAGGCTCTTGATGGGGGTGAAGAGGAGAGTGAAAAAGCTGGCTTTAAACTGAACATTCAGAAAACTAAGATCATGGCATCCAGTCTCATCACTTCATGGCAAATAGATAGGGGAAAAGTGGAAACAGTGACAGATTTAATTCTGGGAGGTAGCGGGGGCTCCAAAATTACTGCAGAGGGTGACTGCAGCCATAAAATTAAAAGAAGCTTGCTCTTTGGAAGAAAAGCTATGACAAAGACAGCATATTTAAAAGCAGAGACATCACTTTGCCAACAAAGGTCCAGATAGTCAAAGCTATGGTTTTGACAATAGTCATGTATGGATGTGATATTTGGAACATAAAGAAGGCTGAGCACCAAAGAATTGATGCCTTCAAGCTCTGGTGCTGGAGAACACTCTTGAGAGTCCCTTGGTCAGCAAGGAGATCACACCAGTCAATCCTAAAGAAATCAACCCTGAATATTCATTGGAAGTACTGATGCTGAGCTCCGATACTTCGGCCACCTGATGCGAAGATCCAATTCACTGGAAAAGACCCTGATGTTGGGAAAGATTGAGGGCAGGAGAAGGGCGTTTCAGAAAATGAGATGGTTGCATAGCATTACTGACTCAGTGGATATGAACTTGAGCAAACTCTGGGAGTTAAAGAAGGCTAGGAAAGCCTGGCTTGCTGCATTCCATGGGATCGAAAAGAGTTGGACATGACTTAGCGACTGAAGAACAAGGAGGCAGGTTACATCAAGAAAGAAGGTTACTTTCCCCTGGAAAGTAGGGATCTTAACCTCTACTGCACAAAGCAGAAAATTCCAGGAGACATTCTAGAATGAATGAACCAAAACCCTGAGGATACTTAAGGGATTCTGGAAGCAAGTTATCCTCACCCAAGCAGGCCAGATTCCCGTAGTTCTCTAACATCACGTCCCTGTACAATTCCCGCTGACCGGGGTCCAGGCATTCCCACTCGTCTTGAGTGAAATCTATGGTCACATCCTGGAATGTCAGCAGCCCCTGAAATATAACGGACATGAGCCACGTGGACCTAGGAAGACTTCCTCATGTGACCCAAGATGAAACAAGCAAGAGAAATGGTTTTGATTTAGGACAATGTCTGGTGTTACACAAGAATATAATTTTTATACTGCTGTATTTTCCACAGTATTTATAACTGCAGGAAAAGAGAATGAGATATGATCCACGGACCAGTATAGAAACTATTCTGATCTGGAAGAGAAATTATAAAACAGTCGCATCAACACTGACCTATCTATTTTTGAGAGTTGTACTCGTATGACACAGGATAAACTGTCTATCAAGGAAAGCATGTTAGTCACTCAGTCATGTCTGATTCTTTCTAACCCCATGGACTGTAGCATGCCAGGCTTCTCTGTCCATGGGATTTTTCAGGAAAGAATACTGGAGTCAGTTGCCATTTCCTTCTCCAGGGAAATCTTCCCCACCACGGGATCGGACCCAGGTCTCCCACATTGCAGGCAGATCCTTCACCATCTGAGCCACCAGGGAAGCCCCCTATCAAGGAAACAGGAAATATTTTCGAAAAGCATGATGCTCTGATCTAAGAGTTCTGGAGTGGGGCAATGTGCCACATTTTTAACAAGCTTATTTTAAGTAGTAATGCTAAAAAAAAAATTCTGATCCATGAATGACCATTCTGAATGGCAAAGAGGTAGACCACTAAGGTAAGAATTTATACTTAACTTTAAATTTTAAGTGTTTTACAAAATTGACAGGTCTGATGCAATAATACCCATAGCAGCAATCATCCTTTGAACTATTGAGTATATACTGTATGTCTTTCTAAAAGTTTTTACAGGGTCTTGAATGCATCACATAAATAATATAAAGTCAACAACATTGTTGTTCCACCGTTTTGCAAATATTTTGTAAAACATTCATTAAATGACAGAGCTTGAATTTGCTTCAGTTCCTGTGAACTAAAATTTAATTGGTAAAACACAAATACACAGAGACAACACTAAAGAAAGTGTATAGGAGTTTTTATAGGGTCTCTCTGGTAGTCTGAGCTCCCAAGTCAGGGGGCTGGGTTCAGTCCCTTGTTGGAGAACTAGATCCCACAGGCACAGCTAAAGTTTGCCTGCTGCAACAAAGTCTCCCACATGGCTCCAAGATTCTGCAGGCTACAACCAAGACACAACTGAGCCAAGCATAAATACGTCTATTTTTAAAAAGAACTTTATATAACTGGGGAGAATGCCAAAACAAGAAGAAAACTAATTTTAATAGTTTCATGCATACAGACATATATTAAAATGAGACTATATACTTACTAAGAGTATTAAGGAAAAGCTAACATTCAGAAAACTAAGATCACGGCATCCGGTCCCATCACTTCATGGCAAATAGATAGGGAAACAGTGGAAACAGTGGCTGACTTTATGTTGGGGGGCTCCAAAATCACTGCAGATGGTGACTGCAGCCATGAAATTAAAAGACGCTTACCCCCTGGAAGGAAAGTTATGACCAACCTAGACAGCATATTGAAAAGTAAACATTACTCTGTCCACAAAGGTCCGTCTAGTCAAGGCTATGGTTTCTCTCGTCATGTATGGAGGTGAGATTTGGACTATAAAGAAAGCTGTGCACAGAAGAATTGATGCTTTTGAACTGTGGTGTTGGAGAAGCCTCTTGAGAGTCCCGTGGGCTGCAAGGAGATGCAATCAGCCCATCCTAAAGGAAATCAGTCTGGATGTTCATTGGAAGGACTGATGTTCAAGCTCAAACTCCAATATTTTGGCCATCTGACGCGAAAAACTGACTCATTTGAAAAGACCCTGATGTTGGGAAAGATTGAAGGCAGGAGGAGAAGAGGACGACATGGTTAGATGACATCACTAACTCAGTGGACATGAGATTGGGTAAACTCCAGGAGTTGGTGATGGACAGGGAGACCTGGAGTGCTGCGGTTCATGGGGTCGCAAAGAGTGAGAGACAAATGAGCGACTGAACTGAACTGATTCATGTTGAGTTCAGTCAAGTTCAGCTGAGTTCATTCATACTCATGTCAATAAAATCAATCTTCATGTCAATAAAATCAGTTCATGTTCAGTTCAGTTCAGTTATTCATATTCATGTCAATAAAATTGAGATTGTTTTTAATGAGTTAAAATATATACATCTACTTGTGGATGATATCCTTTGTATATTTTAAATACACTAGGGTGCAAACATATACAGTGGTATAAGGTAAATTAGAGCTCTGGGTTCTGAAACTTTCATTTCTTGAAAAAACTGTAACATTTTGCAGAGCTGTATCTTAGAAATTCAACACAGGTGAAAACAGATTAGCACCAATAGGATTGTTGCAAATATTTTGATAAAAAAATACAAAGATGTGAGTAAGAAGACTATGTCTGTGATATGACCGTGGAGTGTACTGGAAACATCACACTTAGGCTTGAGTGATGAAAACTCGCACTCACATAACCCAGTATCTATCATCAGCACAGTGAGTGTTCATTTTCCAAAGCAAAGAGAAACCAAGAAGATGTGGAGTTTCTCCACTAACTGTGAGAGTTTTCACATGATCCTCATTCCATTTTTCCACAGCGTTGTCTAAAGGCAGAGAGAAACATAATGACCTGTATAGCCTGATAATCTCAGAGAAATCATCAGAGCCAGTGGACATCATCTGTCATGGTGTAAATGGATCACACGGAAGATCTACCATCAGAACCTGGGCATTTCGGAAAAAATAAGGAAATTATAACTTTAACCAAACATAAAAAATATCAGTTTTATGCAAAATTCATTTCATATATACTTCCTCTCTTTTGTATCCTAACAATGTTGTCAGGCGAGTGTATGTTCCTCAGTTCTTTTTCTCGTCACAACAAAAATTTGGAGTGATGAACATTAAAGCCCCTTGGAGGGTCATGGCTCTCGGAGGACAGACCGTGTTATAGCTCTTAAAAAAATCAGTGTTACAGCTCTATTTCTTTAGATAATAGCTGGAAAATCCATCTCGAGTAGTGAGAACATGTCAATCCCAAGACACGAAGAGAAGATCGCCTCATCGCGCGGGAGAGAGAGAGACAGAAGAAGGAAGAGGGCTTTGGCCTCTCTTTTTATGTTTCCCTGCCCCCGGGTCTCTCTTATGTAAATCGGGCCTAGGCAGGCGCGTTGTTTGCTTTACCTGAGGTTCTCACTCCAGTCCTCGGACCTTCCTTTGTTCTCTTTTCGCGGGCTTTCCCTTCCAGGTCTTTTAGCCACCGCCATTTTGGACTCTTTTTTCCCTATTCTAACTACCTAACAATGTGTTTAACTAGTAAGTCTTAGCATTACAGAGGACAGTATCTCCTAGTTTTCCTTTTATTTCTGAGCATTTTCTGAAAAATTCTGGATCACTGAGTTTATTCAATATATAAGGGCATTTTCTAACTCCTAAAGAGCTGAAATTGCATCAAAGTGTAAACTCATCATGATATTTCCGCTAGTTCCCTAAGATCCCAACACCGAACCACATCCCAATAGCAATCTCGGATACCAGTGCCTCTCCGTGTTTCTCTCTCACAAAGGGAATATATTCACCAGTTGAAACTCGCTAATTCATGCTGAGAACTCATCATTTTCCGTAGAAAGCCAGGATACAGACAAGGGAGACAAGATTCTGGGACACAAGGGAGAAGTGGTCTAAAGAGCCAGGCTTCACTATGATAAGAAGAAAAGGAAAAAATAAAGGAGTTGATTACAAACACCCAGGCAGAAAGTTTAGAAACAGAGAACTAAAGTTTTGCAGGTTCTGAGTCCAGGCATTTCAGGAAGAAAAGCAGACACATCCCCAGATCTGGGACAGGACAGGTACCTGAGAAGCTGCCATTTCCTCCTCTTCCTCCTGCTCTGCGTCTTCTCTGGGGATGTTATGTCGCAAACTCACACCTGAATCTGGAGAAAATACCTTCAAATGCATCCATGCAGCTGTTTAACATGCACCTGCTGCAGGGAAAGAGAAGAAAAAGTTTTCCTGTTTCCCTCCCACTTTTCTGAGCTCCTTTTCGACTTTCTGTGTTCCCAATCTGTAGTGGGGAATCAAGACTAACCTGATAATGCTAATCACATCATGGTGCTCTACACTATTTGCAGATTGTCCGGGCTAGTTCTTCTCCTTCCTTTTCGAGTTACACAGAACAGTTCACGAGAGACAATGGACCCTCCTTCTGGGCTGCCTGACCCAGCCTTTGAGGGTTGTGAAAAAAATGCAAGAGGAAGACCCGCTTTCAGAGCCCTAAGGGGAAACCTCACACTTGAGAACTCAGGAAGGGAGGGTTTAGGGAGGGAACTTCTAGAAACAAAGAAGGTCCACGTGATTCCCTGGGGAGGGGCTCTTTCTAGGATGGGTGTGGTGGTCCACAGCCTGCCTGTACCCTTGGGGACTGGGAGGGGAGAGGTGAGTGAGTGGTGGGAATCACCTGGGGGTCTTGGGTTCCTGCCAGGCTTTACTTGCAGAATTCTTCCCAAAGACCTCCCCTGTCCTTAGTTTTTTCCACCCCCTCTGCAGCCTGGGGACACAGGTTTTCACAAAATGATTTGCTTTGTGACCACCTCTCTGCAGCCATGGCACCTCCAACTTCGGAGACCAGGAGCCTGGAGGCATTTCCATCCCCGCTTTCTTGGAAAATAAACCAGAGGCAGCAGGAGGCCTGGCGAGCTGCAGTCCAGGGCGACTGAGCAACTGCACTGAACTGAATTGATCAGGACACTCTAGGTTCACTGTGTGTATGGGCGGTGCCAAATGCTTCTGAAAACGATGCCCTAAATGCTCTCTGATGACCAACCAAGGAAGTAATGATCGGTGTTGTCGAAAGTTACATCACACATGAGTTAACACCTTAGAATGTTGTTACTCTACTTCCTGTGTGTGTTTTTCTACATTTTATGAATCAACTGCCACAGTTCGTTGTCTGCTCCATTTAGAAAGCTCTATTTTCCCACATCTTGAAAGTATAATGACAAAGGAAAAATTAGAGATGGAAACATATTCATCTTTCTCA